AAAAAAAAAAGCAGAAATAAATATTCCATGGAAGACAAACAGTCTCTTCCTTTTTTAAACTAAAGCCAAGAATTACCAGGGCCACGAAAACTGTTGATATCTTAAAAACTCATGTGAAATTAACATATCTCTCTGAAAGAGTTCAATAATACCCGGTCAAGTTTTTGAAGTAACAAAGAAGTATGTGGCAAGAAAAAAAAACGTAATAGTACCAATGACTTCGTTATTTGTCAAGGGCATTTAATATCATATTTTTGTTTCTGTAACTTAAGCTTTCCTTGTAATAAATACAAACTAGAATCCATAAAAGAAGAAAAATTATTAAACTTTCAGTAATTCCATTAAAATTCTGACAGAAATAGTCAAAGACCTAGAGCCTGAGGTACTTCACCACTGCCAAGAACAAAACTCTGGCCTTCTGACACTGTAGAAAAGTGACATTAGCAAAGTCCTTGGGTACACTACAAGTACAGTATTTTAATCTGGGTGTGTGTAAAGGGTACTATACACTAGGACAGTATGTTTGAATTATTGCTATTAATGCTTTGGAAGCATAAGATGAACACAATAAATAAAATCAGGGCATGGGAAGATAGCAGCAGGAAGAGAAGAAGCATATTTTGTCTTCAGCAAATAGCTGTGTAACAATTACCTAACAAAGAGCTATAGAAAGCAGAGTTTACATTTTACTTTTCTCTGATTTACTCTGAATTCTTAGAGCAAAGTAAAAGTACATACATAATGGAGGAGACGTGGATATTTGAACAGATATTGCAAGAGTACGTCATTTGAAATTCATTTCTATTCTCTCTGGAGGCCACTTCTCTTTAAGAGGCCAGAGATGGTTCATTTAAAAATAGTTATCATGCATTGAATCTTCATAATAATGATGGATTTTTACTGAAACTGAATTGAATTATTCATTTACTGTTTCACTTTTTCCACATGTTGACAATTTACTTCTCCTGATGTTCCAAAGTGGAGGAGAAACACATAGGGAAAGGAAGTGTTAAGCTTAAAGAGTACTTTGGAGAGGGCATAAGAAGATACTTCATCCATCAGCTTTCAAGAACAAATCAGATAAAGAATTCACTCCAATTAAGTTTAGGGATTATCAACATTTATTACCTCTCTGTAATAGCAGAAAGATGGTAATGATGGTTATAATTCAAATTTATTTTCAGGATTTGGGAGCCCTGCCACCAAAAATCTCATCCATATGATGTACCAATTAAAATTTAACATATTACAATTATACTCCTCACTTATCCAGCAAGGCAAAAAATTAGATTCCCAAAGAGACCAAAAAACCTTTTATTTCAGCTTTCAAAAATTACTACACATTTTATAAGAGCCAAAGGAACTGAAAATTGTAACAATTTGTATTTGATTAGAAGAAATAACTTTTTCCTTTAACAGATCAATAGCCACTTGGTTCTTCTGATATATCAAATTGCTTCCCAGTTATTTCTTAGTCTCATCAATGGTACTATTTCATCAACAAATGTCTTAAACACTAGCGATTAGCAAGAATTGCACTGGTTCTTGCTTTAAAAAAATGAAGTCCTGGACGACAGACTGTTAATAAACCTGGGCAATAATTCTGTGAAGTGTTGATAATTTTAACTTGATCACTTATTCAGGCTTGTGGTTAAAATGAAGATTTGCTTCTCTTTTCCAAGTATTGCATTTTCTATCTCAGTGAGATATCTGAAGAAAGGCACTAAATTTTTAAAAAGTTTTTCATCTAAAAAGAAAAGAACACTCCACTCATAAAATGCATTCAGTTGATTGGCTTGACCTTAAAAGGAAATGGCAGGCTAAGATGACTGAAGTGCCCCCAGCTCTCCTGTCCCTCAGTGAGTCAATGGAGACGTGGGCTGCAAGGCCACCGGCAGTAGGTGAGCCCTGTTCTGTGTGCCAAGCACAGTGCTAAGTATGTTACACAAAGGAAACTGGAGCCCAGAAAGTAAGTTTTGAAGTTAAGATTTGATTACTGAGTACCTCATATATGTCAGTCAGAGGGAAAAAAAAGAGAAATATCATTCCAGTTTAATAATTCAATTATATAAATGCAGAATCATGCTTAAAGCTAAACCAATATTTTAATACAAACAACTCATTATAACTCACATACCTCAATGGGGCTTCCACTTGAAAGATATCCCCATTATAGTGAGAATAAACAAACAGAAAGAAAAAAGTTCCCACTATTCCTCACATTCTTATTTGATCCAAGGAAAGGCAAAATCATACTTGATTAAAAAACAGTTAAGAGAAACAACTTTCAGGTATTTTTTTTTTCACTTCTTCAAGATCTGAATGGAAGTACAAAGCACATCAAGAAGGGAAATGAATATAAATTATACTAGTCTATCCATCATGAAAAAAATTCTAAAGGAGGACTGATAAAATGCATTAAAATAGCTTATTGAAATAATAAATTAATCACTAGTATATGTAACGTATAGAAAAATTTTATCAGAATATATTTTTCTTTAGGGGAGGGCAACAAAATATTCCATTACATTTACTAGCCAACTAATTCAGTCAAATGGCATCCTGATTAATGGAAACCTTTCAGTTTTCTCTGAAAGTAATGCAAAAAATGGTATATAGGAAGAGGAGGCTTTGAGCAGGAAGTCGAGGATTTCTAAAGAAATAGATGTGATTCAACTGCTTAAAAACAAACATCACAAATGACAATGCTTATGCAGATGTAAGGTGGTAAAAAGCTGCCCATATTCTTACCGAACAGGTTTTACGTTATGACAATGAGATGGTTGTGAATTCAGGGAAACAGGATGGGATGAAGGAATCTTGTATTCATCGTCATCTTCCTCTACTGGGTCTCTTGTTTTCTCTGAAAGAGAATTTGCTAACGGACCAGTACACCTATTAGGGGGAAAAAATCCAATCTAGTTTTAGCATAATATTCTGAACAGGCAAGTCTGATATGACATATTCAAGTCAAAGAAGCAACTTCGTCACTTATGTTCATTTTTCAATTACAGGGTGACATTAGAGGAGCTGCTTTTATATTAAACACAAATGAAAAGGATTTGTGATCTTTTGTTGAGACTCTTGATTGGATAAAAGAATTTTCATCCTTATAATTTTAAATGGCACAATAAGAAAAACTAGTAACCTGTCAAATAAAACAAAAAGGTGTTGGAGTTGTAAGACAAAAATGCATAAAATTATCCATACTAAAGCTATTAAAATATTAACATTTTATTCCAATTTAACTTAAATGGGTAAAGTAAAATGTTAAAAATATATATGCAGTAGTTTTATATACAATATATTAATGACATCTTTCCAGAAGGGTCAAATGTTTTGTCTCTTGTGAATATTATTTATAGTTAAAAATATACCTTATTCATTTATTTATTAAACTTCAATTTAATGAAACTTAACTCTTGTAAAATTATAATTCAAGTTGTTAGACTTTTTTTCCCCACAACTAAGAACTAAAAATGAATGGGATAATTAGAAGCAGAAAATGAGAACACTTATTGTTAAGTCTTTGAAGTACAATACACTATTTTTATGGCATAAATTACCTGGCTAACTAAAAGAGAATTAAAATGAATAAAACCATAACCTGATATAAAAAAAATTAAGCATTTTATTTATCTGTCAGGGTAAATAATAAAATGGACCCCAAAAAATGGGTACACAAAAACCTACTCTTTTTCACAGTTGTTGCTACTGGAATTCATTGTTGATGCCAATGAAAAATGCCAAAGTAGAAATGTACAAGCCCCATCTGAACAACTTTAGGACAACCAACTAGTTTGGAAGACACCAGAAATACACATGGGTCCAAATCTTTTTGTTAATCATGAAATTCATGAGAAATATATTTCATCAAAAATTAAAAAAATCTAAAGTGACTGCAATTTTGAAGCACCTTCTGTAGAGGGAGCAAGAGGCCTTTGGTACATGAAGCCATCAGTCTGAACTTTCATTTGGATTTCTTATTAGTTAGAATGGAAACAATTTCAGGGGCTTTTCTTTGTGCCCATTACAAGATGACATTTTGAAAAACTTAAAGGTTTTCAAGTTTCAACCATATTATCTAAGTTTCTAGGAAGTTTAGAGACCAAAAGGAAAATTTCTCCTAAGATTTTTCAAAAGTGTATTTTTACGCCCTCTTTGAAAAACTTTTCAATACTAATATTTAAATTCTTGTTTATTTGAGCGACCTTTGAATTCACATGACAGTTTATGGGGAGATGAAAACACAGTGATGCACTTAATGAAGGTCCCATGCCACTGCCCAGAGCACAAGCTTAGAACCTTATTAATAATCTGAGGGTTACACCTACTATGATTTATTCTTAACAGATTTACTTTCCTACTGACGGCAGGTAAGTATATGAACTGCAAAATGGTGACTTGATGGCACTGGAGCAGGGATTTAAAACATTAGTTTTTGATAAACTCTTGTAAACACTGACATCAATTTCACTAACTCAAGGACCAGAATGGGTTCTATTACCAAATGAAATGAGAAATATATGCTGTACATCCTCTCTATGCCCTAATACAGTTTCATTCATAATAAATATTTTTTTCTATGCACCTCAAGCATATATTATATAAAAAATAATTTTTTGTTTAAATATTCAACAACCATGTCAATGTCAGGAATGTTCTAAGATCTGTCTGCTGTAGGTTATTTCCAAAGATTTACGTTTCTGAAGAAGCACTTCATTATCAATCAAAAATGGACAGTTTTTGAAATCATACCTGTTGTGGCTAATTTTATATTTTACCTTCAATGATAGGGAATGTAGTATAGATTGTTAGCTTAAATAGGGTTTAGTGACAGATATAGAAGTGAAAAAAAGTCATCAAGTGATGCTTTGTATCTAAATATGAAAAAATACTTAAGATGCCCTTTATTATCATTTTAATAAAGTTTTAAAGATGCAGATTTTATTTTTGTCTTTTAATGTAAACTTTTCAACCAGTATAATACTCCACTTAGATTAAAAATAAGTCAATTTATAATATTCCAGTGTACTTTATCCAATATTACACATTTTTAATGAAAAATCCATCTGATTCAGTTCTGTAAGAAAAAAATAAAAGCAATTGCTATCACAAAAAAAAATAGAAGATATAAATATGATAACTTGTATTTAAAATGCCAAAAGACAAATCTAAATTTAATTACACTCTTTCTTAATTAGATATGGATTTTTTTCTCTCTACAAACTCATTCAAAAAGCAGGTTCAATCTTACTTGATAATAAATAGTGGTAAAATAATTGGATTTAAAATTATCATTATCTATTCATGAATACATTACTTCTAGCAGTACAAAAATTTAACTTATGGAACACAACACAATTTTTAGTCATTGATTTAACTTATGGGAAATTTTTAGGATATCAGAGGAATGAAGTAGAACAAATTGTATTTAGCTGGTTCACAGTTAAACAAAGCTGCCAAGTAAACCATCCTACCATTTGCACCCATTGCTGCATTCCCTTTACATTTTCACCCTACATTCACAGTGTTCTGCACTGTGGCTGTCATTCCTGAGCTAAGACACTGGTAATGCGCAGGGACACACACTCTCAAAGATGCAAAGCCACCCTCTCCCCAACCTGCACATCTTGTTAAATTCACTGTGCATTAAGTTATTTGAGCCTTCAGTGAGAAATACATTCACTTTATACATATACATGCTTGAAACAAACCAAGAAAATGGTGAATTTTCAGGCCAGCACGGGAATATTTTGCAATGCTGTACTTAGTGACTTTTACATCTTGAAACTGAAGGCTTGCAAATGCATTCCTTTAGAGCATTCTATATTCTTCTATATTCTTGGTGTGAAAGGCATATATTAAGAAGGCTAACCTTCTGAATATCCCATTAGCTTTAACCCTTATAACTTATACCTCAGACATCACCCTTGCTTTTCCTTCCTTCATTTGAGCAATTTCTGATGCCTCAATTACGCCACCAACTTTTCCAGGAAAAAAAAAAAGCAAACTAGAAATATCCATCTTTATTTTCTACATAAAAAATTCAGGTAATATTGCTCCACAAATCCAGTAGTTTTCTTTGAACTTTAATCTTTTCTGTTATGGATACTTCACATGTACTCATTCATTGATGCTGTGTTTTGTACAGATTGACCTACATCTTTCTATTTGTCTTATGTTGCAAAATGTTTAAGGGTAGACCTTAAGTCAACCAAAGCGTGGCATGCAATGTGTATAGTTGAGCACTTACTAGCTTTTAGACAACAATAATGAGTGGCTATTAGAGAAACAAATGGCCAAGTTGGTAAGGGAAAGAAATCAATCATTTTTAGGATCCTTTCATAGTCTAGAAAAGCATTTTAAATGTGACACATCATTTTGCTTGTTTTCTACACAAAGAATCTCTCTTCATTTAATAATATCTGAAGGCAATGTTGTAAAAAATTTTATTAAAATATAATCTTTAGAGCTTGCATGTATATTTTTCCATTTTTTTCTGCTGTTACACTGTCCTAATCCTAATGGGAAAAATGCCTAACTCAAAGAAATCAGAGGCCAGAAAGGAGATAAAACAAAATATAGCTATATTTGAAATGCTTATTGCACAAGTGCCAGAAATAAATTATTTCCCCAAAATAATAGAATGAGTTCTAAGATATGCACGCTAATTTTGAAGGTTCTTTCATGACGTCAAAAAAAGTCAGTGTGGTATACTATTAAGCTTTAAGATAAGCTTTAATTATATGCATTATCACTGACTACTTTGTAAACTGGAGAAACCTATCTGAAGTTGTTTTGCGCTTGTGTTCTGTCCAGCTTCTGTGCACTTTGCGCAGATAACCTCATGGCTTGCTCCTTTACTTCTTTCAGGTTTCTGTTCAATTATTATCCTTTCAGATAATATCCTAATGACCTCATATAAAGTATAAATCTGTCATTATTTATTCCCTTCCATGCTTATTTTTCCTCCTAGCACATACCACTAGCTGACAATGTATAACATAGATATTTGTTTACTTTCTGTCCTCCCTAAGTGGAGAATAAATTCCAAAGAAGACAAGGATTTTATCTTGTTCACACTGAACCTCCAATCAGTAAAGCAACTGAATGAAAATAGGACAGTTAGGTGAAATTTGGATTCCCTAGTCACTGAACCTAAAACCTAAGCACCTTATCTAGTTAGAAAAATGTATAAATAATCAACAATACCACTTCCAACAACAAAAACCCTTTCTTATAAAAATACAAACCAAGTAATATTGGTTCATGGATGTTGAAAGCCTAAGTTTTATATGTCGAAAGTACAAAAGGTCCATTTCTAAAAGACAAAGCATAAGAAAATATTCTTCTAAAAAAAGACATTCCTCAGCATTCCAGAACATTATTTTACCTGGAAGCAATTACTCCATTATTACTTGTAATAATGCCTCTGTTTATTTGCCAACATACTGTGCCAAGTAAAATAAATATTTTCTTAACTGTTTAGAATTTCATTTAGTTTAATTTTGAAAAATCTAATTATTTCAAAGTGAATATAATTTAGTAAATAAATAATTTCAATTATAAAGTAAAAATAATCCAGAGGATTATTTTATTCTCCCTCTAAAAAATAATTACCCAATGTTTCAAGCATTTATTAAAATTTTATATTTATAGCAAAATTTCAATGTTAATTAAATAGAAACCATTTGTAATAGAAAAACCATTATTTCAGAAAAATTAAGTATATCTACACAATTACAATTTCACCTTACTTTTACAACAGTATGTTTTTGAGAAATAAATGCTACACTCTTCTAGATCTCAAGATAATTTATACAATAAAAATCACACAGCAAGAAAGAAAATACTATCATCGAGAAGCCTCTAACATCAAGTAAATGGGAATC